GCTAAAACTGTCACTTACTTAACTTTCAAAATTAAATTTTTAAGCTCAATATTCTTTTTTCGTTAAAACCAACATAAAATTTTAAACAATTAACTGGGTGCAGTTTCAGCTTCATTCAAAAAACATTAAAACATATAACTCATTTTAGAAATTACGTTAATTTGTAATAAAACAAGTCAAACTTAAGAGCATTTTTTATGTTTCTAGAAAATTTATAGAATTTTTTTGCTTGAGGTTTAATTTTTTAGAAATTTTAATAGATTTTAATTGCTTAGAGGGAAAAATGTTAATTAATACATTTTAGGTGATAAAAATTTCTTTTTAGCTTTATAATAGTAGATAAACATTTAAGAAAAATTGTTCTTAATAATAGCCTGCGAAATTTTAATCTTTTTTAGTTTCAAAAACTGGTAGTGGTATTTTTTTCATATTTTCTTCCTTAAAACACGAATTTACTGTATATAATGGATCATCAAGATTTCAAAATTTTTGTGTGAACTTTGCAACTTGATATCTTTAAAGAAATTTAAAAAATTTGCCACTCTCATAACTTTTAAATATAACTACATATAACCTATATTACAACCATTTTTTTCAAGAAAAAGGGTAGTCGGCTATCAAAATAAAAGTTCAATTAAAAATTTTTTAACAATAACTTTAAATAGTAACTTGGATGATAACGGTATATACAATTTACAATATTTATTATTTTATTAGTGAATATTATTTAACTATAGTTTATAGTTCTTTCGGCTTTTTATAAATTTCCAGTGAATTTCAAAGACGATGCTTTAAGTTAAAATGACAAGTATTGTGATAATAACCATTCACATGCTAATTGTCTAGCATGAGTTTATATTTATGCTTCCCCTTAAATTTTTAGAAATTGAAAATATATATTTTCTTCTAAGTGCATATGCATGTCAGTCAAAAAGAGAGTTAAGAGCTTCTTCTCCCTTAGGGTAAGGATAGAATAAAGTATGTGATCATGCCTTTAGGTCGACGCTATCAGCTAAAAGGTGTATAGGCCAACTAAATTCATGTATCGATTTCGGCATTTTTCTTTTCTTGAATAAATTCCTCCCCAGTCATCCATTTAATATTTAAATAAATGATATATTCATTTAATATCAAAAGTTATCGTTTTCCTGTATAAAATATACGTATCATACGATTTCATTTTCATAAACATATTCAAATTTAAACAAATTTATAAAATTAAATTGACATTGACAATTGTAAACCTCAAGTAGATTTTAACTGATTATCATTTTAAAAAAAATTACTTTTTTAGTTCATTATTGTTAACCATTGAAGTCCTTGTGGGCAAAATTATTAGAGAGAATTTTTTTAAATTTGGAAAAGAATTAGAAGGTAGGGATTACTTATTTATTTCTAATATTAGATTGATACTGAACAAGAGAATTTTGTTTGAATAAAATAGATCTTTGTGCATTTTACATCAAATTAGTGGCCAAATTATTGCATCTGACAGAAAATTTGAAGTACATGTTGAAAAATTCTTCTATTTGTTAAGAGCGTTAGAAGAATTTTTCAGGCGGCAATCTTTCACTTAAAAGTTTCATGATAATATTTACGAGTTTCTTTCACTATTACACGATTGTTCAAAGACATGACAAACACTAATTTAAAATACTTTCACGTAAGCACTCTCCAAGAAACGTTTACAAGAAGGGCAATTATTTAAAATCTGGAACAAACTTTTATTTTCGAGCTAACGTCTAGAAAATATTTCATGGTTTTGAAAAGTTATATACATTTTCTTGCAGAATGTTAGTCGGGTGCCATGGGAATTAAGGGCAGCAGTAATGCCACTCCCTTTATATTTTTCTTGAACCACATTTTAACTTACATCCATCTATACTTTAACAATCAAACGCACTACTCATTCTTACTCGAAATCCATTTTACATTGTCATTATTCTTTCCTACCTATATAGTATAATGTTAAGCATAAATAAACATTAATCATTTCCTTTTGCTATAGCAATATCTTCTGACTCCTCTTTTACACACCATTTTACCTCGTCTATTGAAATACATTTTCTACTCATTCTTACTGCACACTTCCATACTTTTTTAGCCCATGCCTGTTCTGCTTTAAAACACCTTATTCTTCTTTCCCTCCACGTTCTATTCTCATCTATTCTTTCCTCGTATCCTTTCAATTTCAATGCTCCTCGTTTTTTCTATTTGCAACCCAACTCTACCAACTATAACTTTTCGATCCCTTCTCCTTACATCCTATCGTTTGTAGCCACGTTAAGTTATCTTTAACACTCTCACCCCTTGTAAATAATTAATCCTTCGCTACTTCTTTTCCTTCCCTTCATCAATACTTTTCTCTGAACACAAAAATACTTTCCTTCTACTCTCCTTGATATAGTTCATTCGTTTTCTTAATTTTTTCATTTTTTCTTCTAGATCTTTCCTTTCGTTCTTCTTTCCTCTTTTAGTCCAACTAATAACCTGTGAGAAAAAATTCTATTAAATCTGTAACACGCATATTCACATAGGTTCAAAAGCAATTACGATTAACTTAATGTGATATTTGAGCGATAAGAGCTAAATCCATCCATAGTTTATTTGATATTAATAGAATAAATGATCATAGGAAGGTGAAAATTGAATGAAATTCAATGTATTATCAGAAATGCGACGTTTCATTGGCTAAAGTTTGCCAACCTCATCAGGCAAAATTTAGTTAAACAAAAAACACTTCAATATTTATAAAAGTCTGAAAACAATATTTTGCATTAAACTAATAAATATGATTAAAAATATCCTACCGAATTCATTAAAAGATAAAAGTCATGGATGATCTGGAAACTGATTGTTTAACAAAATTAAAATAAAAATATAATTGTGTTCCTCTCTTCTATTCTCTTCTATTCACAATCTGTACCTTACCCAGGTCACCAATCACCCTAGTCACCTCATTGGTGAATGTCTCCTTATCGAAAGAACCTCTAAGATTGATAAAGAATTCCACCTTCTTGATGAGTACAGCGTCCGCACAAATCGTATTGCTTTTTTGTGGGTTCACCTCCTCAAGGATATTTCCCAGAACTGCTGCGAATCTCTAACCTTCAGCCAGCTTCTTCTTCTTTGATTTTTTATTCAACTCAGAACTGTTTCTCTTCCGCTTCTGACCTTCCAAGATGACATTTCTTAATACTACAGCATTTAAGCGGTTGCGTCTAACTCTTCGATCTTGTCTTGATTCCTCTGACCACACCAATTGTTGGTAGAACCTCTCATTTACTTTTTTTGCAGCTGCGTGCTTCTCCTTAATCTCCTTATATGCTTTTCAGTCCGTCCTTAATCGTCACATTGACGTTTTTCTAGACATCACAGGACTTCAGCATCTTACTGTTCTCTTCCTCCATTCTTTGAATGCAAGCTACTTTCTCCTCCAGCAGCCTTATAGCTTGGTCTCGATCTTTATTGCAGCAAGTAATGTCATTAGCCGAAGCATTACTGAAGACAGAAATGCAGCTGCTTTTATTTGTAACGCTGCTCGTACTTTCTCGTCTATCTATTCTTTCGAAGACAATTCTTGGCACCATCAACGCGTTGTTGCCCTCCTGCATCCTTGGGACACTGACCACCATCCCCACGCCAAGCGCTTGACGAACGGAACCAGTGAGGAAATTAGCCGAAACATTACCCCGCAGGTACTCTTCCATGTTTTTAAAATCGCTCATACTTGATGTTTGTTCAGTATCGAGGAACGAGCGAACCTAAACAGGGTACTACCATCTGGCCAAGATGAACCCTGAACCGCCTCCGTTAGTTACATAGACGTTGTAGCATTGCCGAAGCAATGATGCGTCGTCTATGATATCCAAGGGCACGTGAACATGTTCGGACGTAGAGGTCAATGTGTTTCTTCAAGATAGCAGGAAGTTTCCGCAGAGGGAATGCATCCTGTATCTCTATACGGAGTTTACCCTCAAAATGATCAATATTAAAACAAATCATTCCACTATTAATAGAAAAAAAAGATATTTTCACTCTAAGCAAAACTTTCTTTCTTCTTCTCAGACGTTTGGACTCTTGTCTATAATGTCAAAACAACACCACTTGACCCGTCCTCTTTATGATAAAACTGTGTTTACATTCCAGTTCATTGACTTTACTATATTTCTATCCTTTTGACTTTCTTGGACTAGTAAATTTTAATTTATTTCAGTTGACACTGAATTAGTGTATTAAAATACTTCCTTTCTAATATTTTTAATTTTGACTTATGTGGAATGTGTTGTATTTAAAAAAAATCTTTTTAATTGAATTGACGAGTTAGAACGCGATTTTTATGTTTTAACAAATTAAGTAGGATATTTTTAATCATGTTTATTAGTTTAGTGCAAAATATTGTTTTCAAGCCTTTATAAATATTGAAATGTTTTTTGTTTAAATAAATTTAGCCTGATGATGTTGGCAAACCTTAGCCAACGAAACGTCGCATTTCTGACGATACATTGAATTTTATTTAATTTTCACCTTCTCATAATCATTTATTCTATTAATATAAAATAAAGTGATATTTGTTCATTTTATAGCACTGCTTATGAATCAAAGAGGGTAGTTGTAGGCAGTGCTACAAAATGATCTACATATCGTATCAACTTAATTACATCTGCTTTTGAAGTTTTTGGTTTCATTATGGTTTCCGTGAAAGCGGTCCAATAATTTGTAGACATTATTTTTATAATTTAAATATAAATCATAACTATATATATTTAAGATTTTATTTATAATTGTAATTTAATTAATTTATATAATCTGTGTTCGCAGTACTTTATTAAGAAATGGAAGTTGCTATGAAATATTTAACTATTGGATTACAGATTTTCACACATATGTATATGCAATCGTCCATAGAATATCAAAAGCAGAAAAGATTTATACATTTGATTTAAATACATTTTTTCTATTATTGAAATTTTGTATTAATTTTTATTTCGTTGTTTCAGCCAAAGTAAAATGAGATGAGGATCTAAACTGAGGAATAGTACAACATCATGATGAAAATACTTCTAATCCTGGTAATTTTCGTGTTGGAGTTTGAACTTTACTTTATGGGTAAGTTAACAATCTATTTATATTTCTCAATAAGGGCAATTAATGAATTATATAGATTATTTTTGATAATTTTAATCCCTCCCACTACTTCCATGAAACCTTTAATGTCTGCCAAATTAACATTTTAAAAACGTTTCATGTTCTAAAAACGTTTTAAATTATTTAGTTATTAATTAAATTTCTATAAAATTAATTAAACAATTAAATAACAATGGTTCATCTAATTACAACAAAACTTTAATATCTATTACGATATTTGGCAGAGATTAAAAGTTATAGGGAAATTTCTCAAATGTTAATTTTTCTTTCTGGCCAATGAATATTTATGTACATAAATTTTCTTTAACAATGTTTTTCTTAAACTTTCATTAATGTCTTAAAATTTAAAAGAAGTGTGCATTAATTAATATATCAAGTAATAAAGGGTTAATTAGATAACAAAAAGAAAAACACAATTTCTCACGTTTAGAAATTTACCTCTGCTAAAAGTAAAAGATTCAAATATTCTAAGATATTTTTTAGAGATAACAATAAGAGAGGGAATTGAAGAGAGAAACTTAATAATTCGTTGAATTTTTCCTTATATATAGCTTAAGCTTAGTAGACCAGTGGGGAAAAAAACCATTTTCTTAAAACGTATTTCATGTCCGACTAATAATGTTCTTTTACATTATTTGAACATCCATGTTCGTAAATTATCTTATTCTTGAGACACTCTCCTAATTTATAATTTTTTTATACAAATCACAAATGAGCAAATGAATACTGAATTTCAAGTAAATTGACATATACTCTCTACACTTGAATTCCGTTATTAAAAAAATAATTACGCATGTTGTTATGTGTATAATTATACTAGTTTTTACACGTGCATTTGTGACCCTATTAAAAATTGATTAATTATTATTAAAACAGTATTAATTTTTGTAAAAAAAATCAAAATTTGACAATTTTTTTTTATATTTTAAGTATATTTGAATTTTTTTTTAAAAACTCTTTATTTTATTTATTCCAAAATAAAAAATAATAGGAAAACTAAAAATTAAGCAAATGTACTTTACAATGGGATTTCTTGATGCGATTTTTAGTTAGTTAATATATATATAGCGTGCGCCTTATTTATTTTACTCTTTCTCTCGCATTTATTCTTCTTTCTGAAAACAAATGAATTATTTTGTTCAAAGACTCGCTTAATTTCAGAAACTTAATTATGAAGAAACTTATTTTATAAACTTCATTTAAATATTGTTAAACTAATTTGTGGCTATACATACACAAGTTTATGAACATGACTTAATGTTTTAAAAAACAAGCTTCATCTATTAAATTTACTTTATGTAACACATGCTAAAAACACGCTTGTAAGTTCTAATTAAACAAAATTATATATACAAATATAAAAATAAATTAGTTTTACACTTTAAATTAGTATATAAATTTCACATATTTTTCTGGATATCATTTATTATTAATTTAGTCTACACGACGTTTCGTCACTAACGTTGGTGTCCTTATTAAGTGTAATTCTGTTAAATAAACACATTTTAATCTTAAACATAACCTCCAAATTATAATTATTATACTATTGACATTAAATTACTACTCACCGAGATAAAACATAATTAGATATAAAAATAGAAAAAAACATGCCTCTCAAAAATGAGAGCATATTATTTGTTTTAAGTTACATTTTAAATATATTATTAAAATTCGATGTAAGAAAATTTTGTTTTTTTCAAACCAGAAACAAATAGATACATAGAAGGTATATCGTATTTACAGGCAGGTTAAAGGTACATTCATATTTAACAATAGACATAAAGGCTAGTCTCTAAACTTATATTTAAAGAAATTTTTCCTTCATTAAATACAATAATAATAATCTGGAGTACTTATTAATTTGACAACTTGTCAAAAAAAGTCTTTGGGTTCATTACCTTCTAATACCAACTAGGAAGTAAATTTGACTCCCTTTCTACTTTAAAAATGAATAATAATAATATCAGTGGTTGGCTTCGCTCGCTTGTGCCAAAAATTAAAATGCTTTTTAGGTTATTTTTAGTTTTTTGCATTTTTCTCGAAAAATAATCAATTTAGGAAAAATATTCATAGAACAAAAAAAGCTTATTTTAACAAGATCTACAACTTTTATGAAAAAAATTTTGTTCTGAAGTATAAACGATTATATATTAAACTCGAATTCCCTCATTATTCTGTGTTTTTCTGTCGTGCAGAACGTTAAAGGTTAAATTCGATATTTCAAAATCCATTATTGTGTAATGATCCCCGAACTTTTTATCGATGAGAAAGACTGTATTATAACGTCTATTTCGCATCTATTTCCTTTGAAAATTACAATATTTAATTCTACATTGATCTGAGTACCCGAAACGTTAGTCGTAATAAAAATTCCCGAACCTTTTCTAAGGACGTTCATGAACGTATCTTTTTTGGCGACTTGGAACGTCATATTACTTGAAGTAAAATTTGTGAAAAATTCTCTGCTTCCTGTCATTAGGCTGAACGCTCAAAAGTCTATAAACCATAATGAGTTTGAGTTTCTTTCACCTTTCTTGTTAATTAAACACATTTTAATTGAATTTTCAAAAGGTTCCTTTTCATCAGATTCGCGTTTTTCTAACCACTTTTTAATTGTTCTACAGTCTTTCTTTAAATGTCCCGTTCTTTTACAAAAGAAACAAAAACAAGTGCGTTTTTCTTTATTGTCTTTATCAACACTACTCTTCATTGCTCTTTCCTCTTAATTACTTTCCGCGATTTTTAATTTTCGTTTTCTATATTCTTCTAGGAGTTTTCCTTTGACGAACGTTATCGTAAGATCATCCGACCGAGCTTCCACAGTCGTTATCAAAGTACTATACGTATCCGGTAACCTATTAAAAATAGCTGAGATAAATGTATCGTCGTCTAAAATTATTCCGAAAGTTGCTAATTTATCTTTAGTATCTCTCCATAGAATTTATGTGTTTTTCTAAATCTCCGCCTTCAGGTAGTTGTTTATTAAGCAAACTTTTAATATAAAAAAATTTACTTGAGCGGTTGCTTTATTGTGGTATTCTGTAAGCAATGTCCATAACTCCTTTTCAGCCTTTCAGTTTTTTACGTGAGTTAATTGATCGTTGTCCAAAAGTAGTCCGATTTTTGCTTGAGCCTTAGCGTCCTTTTTCTTCTAAGCTGCTATCTCCTTTTCTGCAGCTGTATTAATTGGAGCATCTTCAATGATGATTTCTCATAGATCTTCCAAGGTGAGCATTAACTCGCCTCTGCAACTCCATGTTTGATAGTTCTCATTTGTTAATTTCTCAATGCCACAGAGCGTCCCTTAGGAATCCGACATCTTTGAATTTCGAGAATAATGCTTAGCGCTTCGCTTCTCAAAACACAGTTCACTTTACACTTTGCTCATTATTGCAAAATTATTTTAGAAATATATTTAGAATTTAACGAAGTGTAATTAATATTACAAAATATTCGTTTGAGAATAATATTACAGAAATATAGTAATAATCGTTTATTTTCTTCCGTTGTTGTAATTTGTTAATGTTTTTAAATCGATTATCGGAAGAGTAGTAAATGAAACACTTGTATCACTTGTGCAACGTTTCGGTGTCTTGGTTTGACACCATCATCAGGCCACTAGTCATTTTTTAAAAAAAGTTTAAAAAATTGTTAAAACAAATAATTCGTTACATTTGTAACTCGTCTTAAAATTCGTCAATGAAAATAAGATATCCCAAATTTCCCATATTACTGCCAAACATTTCAATAACTTTTTTCTATGAATACGACTAGCATAGGCGATAACCACTTCATTTTCTTGTTGAGGTCCCCATTGCCACTCATTTCCCTTTTGAACAAAAGTGTAAGAGGAACAATTGATGCAACTTTGTCAAACGACGGTACAAGACACCATTTCTAAAACTTGACGAAGTTCTTTAATGTTTTTCGGCGTAGGTAAATCCAACATGTCGAAACTTTATCTGGATCAGGATTTTATCTGATCCAATGAACTGATATTAGACATTCTTATGAATTGTTATTCTAAATTTAAAAAAATACAGCAAAAATAATTGAGGTTGACCTTTATAGTGTTTTCAGCGAAAAACTCGAAATTTTGGGCAAATTAGCTAAAAAAGTGTGTACCCCTTCCTGGTGCTCACAATTGTTGATCAAGTGAAGAATTAATTTAATTCATCCGTAGATTTCAGGAAATATATAATGAAAATGATTAGAGTTCAGTACGTGGACGGAATCTTCGGTTTTAGTACGAGTTCAACTCACTCGATAATTTTAAATCAAACGTAGTAAGATATTTGGCTCCTTGAAGTTAGTCTAGAATGCTAATTAATGCGTGGAACGGATAAGCATTCTTTTTAATCACTTCATTTAATCTTCGACAATCAATACAAAATCTCAATTTCACATTTTTTCTTGCAAACACAACTGGTGAGTTGTTCTTTTTTTAGCATTGCGATTACTTTTTTCAATCATTTCTCCATTACTGGATTTTGAATTCATTTATACTTAACATATTAATATGAAAAAGAAAGTGAAACATAATAAGAATTTGAAAATTATAAACTTATTTTAATGTCTCGCTTTTTACGGGGGTTTGGTATAAAAAATTTCCAATAAATTCGTGTAGAAAATTTAAAGTTTAAAATTTATTAATGTTATGCGTCGTTATTCAGGCACACATGCACAAAAAAAAGTGTGGTGTAAGAAAGTCTTTTGCTTGTCGAGTGGTTTGCCAAGCTCATCGTAGCAAACTTTCGTGCTTACATTCCTACTGAGTCATTTTCTTGACTATACCACAAAAACTTAATATACTTTGTTCCATGAATGTCTGACAAGTAATTTCCAGTTATCGTGTTGCCCAAAAAACAACTAAAACTTTAGACTCGTTAACTCGGTGGAAACTTTTATAGTGACTTCAAACTGGCTACTGTTTAATTTCATTTTCTTTGTTTTATTAGTTCAGAGGATATTGCTGTCAAGACAAGTAATTTTTTTAATCTCTTTGTTTAGTCACAAACGTCATTTCTTATAGTACTGAAAATGCAGAGAGAGGCAGTAAAGTATTTAAGCGACATATCGCTTGTGTTTCGGGTACAAAGAAGGATTAAATATATGTTTTTGGTGTAAAAGCCGAAGGAGTAAAATTAAAAAGCTGACATTTGGTAAATATATGTATTTTTATATGTAAATTAAATGAATAAATATTATTAATATGTTTTATCATTAATTGAAAGCAAGTAACATTTTATAAAATTAAAAAATGTGTTTATAAATTTAACTAACAGCATTGTCAGCATTGGGGTTATATTATCATAGATATATTAATGAATTCTAACCTTATTTTTAACAAAATATATTCTAAATATCAAAATGCATAATTCATAATTATTATAAAATAATTTGATGACTTAATTCACATTCAAATTATCTGTTTTTAGCTATAATGCTAATTTATTTTTATGTTTAAAATTTGTATTCAAGGAGTGAATGGAAACTAAGACAGTGGTGAGTTACACTGTCCTAGTTATCGTCCATCTAATTAAATCATGAAATAATCATAATATAATAAAAAATCGTTTCGTTTATTGTAATTTAGAAGATACTTAAATCCATTGAACGTTGGCAGATTTTGTAAAAAGTGTCTGTGTTCAGAAAAATCATGAACTGAAAAGATTTTGACAGAAATTGCAGATTGGGCTGTTGTCAAAGACCTGCTACAGGAAAACTGATCATATTTAATTTTTTTATCAGTAATTTTTCTAAAAATAATTACAACAAATGAAATACTCATTCTGTGTATTTATGTTAAAAAAATGAGTTTCTCAAATTTATAGGTCATAAAATTATATATTTTTCAAGAAAAGGATGTTGCAAATTTTTTATAATTTCGATCTGCAATGTCGATAAGCGGGTTCCCATTAAAAAAATATTGCCTTGCCTAATTAAAACTGCACTGACCTGTTGAAATGACGCGAAATTGGTAAACTCGCATTTTTCAACAAGTTTTCTCTCTATAATCCTAATTTCAGAAACCTACAAACATTCTTGAAAGCTAGATAGTATGGCTAGAATATAATTATATTGATAAAAAATTATAAGATAAAACATAAATTTTCAAACATTTTTAATGATGTGCAACCTTACTATGTCATGTTATCGAAAGATTACTATTAAACTTATATTGATCTTATCAAGTATGCTGATCACGGCTTCACTGGGTGAGCTTACTACATAACTTTACAAAACATACAAATAAGCTTACAGTTCCCTTACTAGTAATAAATTGTACTTGCTATGTTGAAGGATAATATTTCAATAGATGCAACAAATTAGATAAGGAATTATTAATTTCGTTGCGAAATGAAGAAAATATTACTTACTGCTTGGGTTTATAAATCTAATGTAGTAAATTATTTTTCAACTAATTTGATGCATATGTATCAAAATATTAATTATTAATTACAACACACTTAGTATCCGTATTTCATATTAGCTTTAAAGAACTGTGTATATTATGTTCAGTACAAATTTTTTAATAATTAGCAGCATATAAAAGAAGTGGTTTAGAGTTTCCGCATATATGAAACTGACATATAAGATCAGAGAAAATGCACTCAGCTTTAAAATGAAAGGAGTGATGTCAACTAGGGCCCTTGGAAAATGCATGTTCTGAAGCTGATAATTAAAGGCTAAACCCTTCTGAATGCCACCGCTAAGTTATTCACTTAACCACTTATGTCTAACCCATTTATGTGCACTATCGCCGCAGTAGCTATGAAATTAATTAGGGAAAGGTTTCAGGGTTGTGAGAAAATTGTTGGTTGCCTATAGTTACTAATAAATTGGATACGCTCAAGTGTAGAAGTTTCGAGCGGTAAGAGATAAAATTAGAAATTAATAAATTAATCAACCGAATCTATTCTACAACCAAATTAATGTTGTACCTTGGAATTCGCATAATTTGAATTTCACAGTTAGACAAAGCTTCAATAATATAATTGAATATGTGCAAACTGTAAAATACCAGAAATTATTCTGCGAATGCTTATTCTCTTTTTTCTTTTTTGAAATAAAACTTTCAGTGAAGGGAAAATAAGAAAGTTTCATTTTTCGATCAATCTTATTTGCTCTGTGGCATCTTCAATTCAATAAATAGTTGGTTTGAAATACGCAATTTTTAGCAAAGATTTTTTTTCTTTACTCTCTTAGTTAATTAATTCGTAGCGCAGTGTTTGTAACTTTAAAATAGGAAATTCTACTTGTAAGAAAGAAAGTATATTTATCATGATTCACATCATTTATTAAATTATGAATAAAAGTTTTTCTCAACTTGTTACTGTACTTTAGTACTTGACGGATATTATTAACATTTAATTATAGAAAAATTTGATACTGATGGAATTAATAAGAAATTTAAAAAAAAGGTATTCGAATCTTATTATTTTTCATAAATATTAAATTCTTGTCTGTTCTATTCAAATTTTCTTTCTCTGAAATTCAAGCTTAAACTAACTCGAACTTGATTTAAATAATATTCTTTAATTACTGACTTGAAAAGTAATTTTAAAATATGTGAATTTTCATTGGATACTGTAACAAGAATGCATGAAATACTAGTAGTTATATTAAAAATGAAATTAACTGAAAATGATGAACGTGATGTATTCATAGTTTGAATAGAACGGAGATGAATGTATGTACATATATAAAATACAACGATCATGTAATTTGGAAATAGCAACGTTTGGTAATGCGAACATTGTAGGTTGGATATCGAAATTCCCCAGGCAATTCTGCTATCACTCGGATCACTTTCGAGTTCGAGCATCGAGGGTACTTTAGGTAAAACCCTTGAGACACTGCAAAAGATTAAACTTCAAATATCAATCCCCAAAAGAATGAAAGTATGTTTCTGAAATGAACAAATAATATGTAAATTGAACAGCAGTTTAAACCCATCGAAATAAGATTTCTAATCCACTTAGCATTTCTAAATAATCTCTAATATTTCTAACATCAAACATAATGTGGATTAACATTACATATTCAACAAATTATAATTGTTCCTAAATTGACATTTAAATTACAATCTAGTTAGAGTTTAATTGGAGTTAGTCCCTCACTTTTTTATACTTTTAATTTATTTTTCAATTGAACATTAAAATTACATTCTGTTTTTAAAATTGAAAAATATAGGAACTCTAAAACAAATAAAGTATAATTAATAATAAGAGTAAAATTAGTAACTTTTGCTTTCTTTTTTTTTAAAGGAAGCGAAGCGAGACATCAGAAGGAATCAAGTGCCAATAATGTCGACTTGACGACAGAGGATAAAAACGAAGAGAGTTTAATTGGATTAATCAAAGAGGTTCTTGCTCAAAAAGGTGGAACAGCTGTTTTACCTTGCAAGTTAACAGATCCCAGTGCAGGAATAGTAAGTATAATTGTCTTAAGTTTAACTACAAACTGTAATTATAATAATGACTAAATCGTAAAAACATACTTTGAACTGAAGATTTGAAGAAATAAAAATTTCATCAAAATTCTTTCACTCAGTATCTACTATATATAAAAAAGTTGTTGTTAATTAAAAAATTTCTATTTTTGTATAAGTATGAATATTTATCATTCGATCGAAATAGTTATATAGAAAGAAAGGTCATTCAATAATGTGACATCCGAACATCTACACGTGTGTTTTGACAATTTAACTGCTTCTCTGATGAGGACAATCAATTAAAATAAATGAGACTTTTATTTTATTTGACTGGAAAAGAAAGGTCATTCTTCCTATATAATTTCTATTTTTATTAAAATAGTTTATTTTGCATACTATACTTTAAATTTTAATATAAAATACCACATCTAAAGAACGGCTTCAAATTAGGAATACTCGTATTTGCATAGACTACTAATGATTGTGACTTCCAGCCCAAAGAATAAGGAGACTATAGAAAAACTCTCCCTAGTACAATAATCAGTTTATCGACAGTTGAATTCTAACTAGCACCTCGATTTCAAATCACCCACTTATTATATCTTGATATCAGTTAAAAATCAAGGTTATGGCGATAATAGACGAACAGCGGTTACCCATCTAATTTTAAGTATTAACCAAACTAACCGATGCTTAAACTCGATGATCACAAGGCAAGGAGTTCTTGTAATTTTTACATTAAAATCTAAATGAGCTCAAGGACTAGGATTATACGAATAGCAGAATTGCTAAGAAATCTTGCATATTTACTGTATTCAGAAATCTGAATATAAATATTTATAAAATATAATGATGTACAAAAAAATTATTATTCAACCTTATTTAAAATAGCTAAAAATTCCGAACAATTTAAAATTATTCACATTGTAAGTTGCAAGTTATATTTTTTCGTAAAAATTTTGCTACTTTAGACAATATTTTTATCGTACCTTTATTTTTACCAACTTTATAAAATAAAATATCATCGCTTCATTCTTTGCATCATTTGTGACATCAACATTCATGATACCATGCTCTACTCAGAAAACAAAATGCCTGCACAATTGTTCGTTATGATCCGGATCGAGGTCCGATCGTTCAAACCGACGTGCCGGCTAGAATTGCTGGCGATATTGCCAGCCCGTTTGTCCGCCACGTGCATGCCAGCAATATACAAGTCGCAAATGCCGATTATTATTCGAATGTTTTGAAAATAATTATTCGAGATGAAAATTATGATTAGAATTTAAAAAAAAAACATAATTATGAAACTAGATAATTTACTCTTTATTGTAATACTATTTTTCATAACATTATCATACATCTATAATTTTCATCTCGATTTTCATTCACTACATTATAGTGAATGCAAAATATTTTCTAACAAAATTGAGGAAAAGTTTTCAACACATTAGTTGAATAAAAATTCTAATTCGTTTATCCAACAATGAAACAATGAAATTACAATATTTCACACAAAGAAAATTGAATTCTTGCAATTTACTATTTTTAGTCTTTCAATAACATAATTTGATAGAAGCGGAGCTGATAAAAATAAATACTCTTCAGGATTAAAGTCGATTTCAGACATGAACTTTGCTTTTGAAGTGTCAAGTAGCTAGTTGAAGTCGAATATGTTTGAAACAAAACATTGAATCGATTTCGCATTTTCCAGAAAAGTTATTTAAATAATGATATTTTGTGTATCACTAGATACATATTTATCGCTATTTTAATAACTTTTCTAAAACTGAAGCTTTTTCCAATTTTGAAGTTTACTTTAGACTTTTTGCCGGTGAAAATGAAAAAAACGTGATTACCGAATTTTTATTATTAACATTAAAAAATATTAAACAATTGATTACTTATATATATAGTGCGTCGTATGTTATAGGCTCTAAAGAGTAGACATACCGTATTTTAAAGTACTTAATTAACATTTGTTAAAAATATGATGATTTACGTTTTAAAAGTCAATAAAATTTGTTTGTTTCCGGCTACTGTAGAAAATCTTCCAACGTGCCAAATGATCTTACAATCTAAATTACTACAACCCTAAAGTTTATTTAATTGCACACAGAAATACGTTTGCAATATGAGAAGTAAAAAAGTAATGTAATGACAGGCTATAAGATGTGCATTACAGAATGAAGAGCAGAAGAAAGCAGAGAACACAAAGGCACAGATGTCATAAGGTTGGCATCACATTACTTCTTAATTTCTCGTTTCGTAATCGCGTTTCTATATAAATTAAAAATCTAGGTAAAATATAAGTAGGTATATAATTCACATAATAGAAATTAAATGTTTTTTATAAAATACAAGTGAACTGTCAGCAATTAAAAATATTACAAAAATAAATTTTGGTGATTTTAACTTTACTTTACTGGTCGGGACCAGTGAGGGATTCAGATTCAGCCGAAGCATTTCCCCGCAGGTTACTTCTTGTTTTTACAATCGCTCATTTGGTCATGCTGTTTTGGTTGTCCCGTATCGGGATAGCCAAATCGGGCCTTAACAGTGTACTACCATCTGGCCAAGATTGACCCTGAACCGCCTCCGTTAGTTACATAGACGTTATAGCATTGCCGAAGCCTTGGTGCGACGTCCATGATATCCAAGAACACGTGAACGTTATACGTTCGGACGTGGAGGTCGATGTAATCGCTGTAAAAGATTTTCTACCAATTATACATATTGACTATCTTCAATGTTTTTATAAATTTTCTTTTACAAACAAATTGCATTTCAACTAAACTAAAAATAATTAAATAAATTTCAACTAACCTAGATAATATTAAAAATATTAATTCTGTTTTACAAAGTTGCAGTTAACTGTAGCTTATTACATTTTAAGTAGATTCTTTTTGAATTATTTAGTATCAATTATTTTCTCATGAAATTTTTAAAATTAAATAAAAAGATTAATAATGCAATATTAGAGTTGGATGAAGAAAATATATTTTATTGTTTTTGTAATAATTTTCTATATTTTTTATGAAATTTCATAAAATATAAGCTTTTTAGAGACGTGAATGTAAAACTGACTTAATTTTCATGTTGACTAATTAATTGCTACAGAGGAAAGCAAAGTACTTTCAAAATGAGCGTTCTAAAGCGGGAGAACAGAGAAAAACATTTTGCGAACTTTTCAGCTAGTTTTTAATTATGTTCAATTATCTTAAATATAGAAAATTTTAAATTACCTTGAAATATGTCACTGCTTATACATGAATTATGTATAATTTTAGACTCTTTGCATATTTATGAAATTGTTTCATCGAAAAATTTATAATTTTAATTCATTTTTTCAAAGTATTTATTTTTTTTCGGGAATTTCAAGCGAAATGTGATTATTTTTCCTTTACAATATAGTTACAGAATTGTGATTGTGTCCCAGTTCGAAAATTGCGGGGTTGATTGCGCGTATGAAACCAGCTTGTCGAACCATCTAGATCGATCAGTCGGGTGAATGCAGCTGATGGATTGACAATTAGTAACTCGTTTTACGAACTAGTCCCTGATCCTATTTCGTTGAGCTTTCAATTTGCGTACAAAGCAGATAGCTGAGATAATCGGACGCTCAATGATGCTTCGATGTTACATTTTTAATGAAAAGGTTTCCGACACGTAAATTAAATTTGTTTTCAATTTATCAATGTCTCTTGTCCCAAAAAAAGCATGCGACTTCAGCTGTATTATTGTTTTATTTCAAATTGATATAATCTTTTCGAAAAAAAAAATTTTTTATGTTATTTTAGTACGGTTAGTTAGTAGTTTGCAGTGACCCTTATGCAAAGCATTTGCATAAACTTTACTAGGTTAGTTGTAATTAATAACAATTTTTATTGAACAATAAAAAAAAGGGAAATTTACTATCAATATTTAAAAATAACTATATTGAGCACTGAGCAACGCTGGCTGGTATTAACACTCTACCGCGTCAGTTGTGGAATTTTCATATGAGGAGAGATTTGCATATTGCCACCGCATGCACTCCAACGTTCTTTTACACTCTAACAATGAAAATACTAAAATTTTGATTGATTCAGACGTCAAAAAAATAGATATCACTTTTAATATTATTTTCAATATTATTTTCAATTTTTAAATTCTTGAATAAAAAAAAGGAAGAATTATTTTAAAAATTAAGATATTTGAATGGCATGAGTTGAAAATTGTAATGAAATATTTTATATTTAATATCAGAATGAAATTTACAATAGTTTTGAATTCTCTTTCGCATGAGTCTGACATTGTTATAAATATATGATGGAATGATTAAAAGTTTGTAGAATTTATTATGATTTAAATATTTGTTGAAAAATTTTGTACGGAAATATCAATAAAGTTAAATAAAATTATTAACAATATCTGCCTATAAGGAAAACGAAAAAAATATCATTTGAATGATAAACTATTGCGAACTATCACAGTTCTTGCATATGAAATAGTTCGTCCTCATGTTCGTGCATTTTAAATGTACTTCTCTCTTGCATTCAATGGAAGCAATTGAGTTGTTACGATTCAACTGGTATGGGATTGTTTGCAAACATCAGATAATAGAAAAATCTAAATCTTCTTCCAAAGATGGTTTATTCTGTATTTCATTTGGCGGTCGAAAATCCTCAATTTTTGTCAAAAACAGTATGTGGACGCGATTCTGCACCAATACAGTCATGGCAATACAATAAATATATTGCATTTTTATTAAAAAAGATAAAATTTATTATATTAATAAAATTTTAAGTTATACTAAGAAATTGTGATCATTTTTGTTCGTTTGAGCTACTAATACGTTTAATAAAAAATAAGAGTTACTTTGCGTGAGCTTTTCAAACTACTCTAGTGGGGCGACGTGACACTCGAAAATTCAATTTGAACTGAAAAATAGAATCAGAAATATTTATCAGATAAACGAAATTGAAGGAAACTTCAGGTGACTACGACTGATTTTA